TAATACTTCTAGTTATTTAGTTTTTTTTTTTTAATATAGGTGGAAAACGAACAAGCGGCCACCTGAATCCACCGAAATGGAAAGCGACCGCTGCCCATAAACGTCCGCGATTGCAGACGCGTTGCCTACCCTTAATTGACGAAGGAGGAGACGCAAATAAATAGGACATTTCCCCTTCCTATGCGTCTCCTATATCGTCGAGTCCACTTTTCTATCCTATCCTTTCCTCTTAAGAAAGAGTGGAAAGGGACTAAAATTAGGTCTCCGGCACCACATTCATCAGACGAAGCGCGGAATTGCTTCCACTTCACGCCTGTTTTCTGTGTGTTCGTTGTATAACACCGGGCGAGCCGACCCATTCGTGCGAAGATGTTAAAGCGGGCTCTACTACTGTCAAACTAGTTAATTTTTAAGCTATAATAATGTGATTGGCTGTTTAAATTTTGGTGTTTTTGTTTCCTAGTGGTTAAGTTTGATTTATTGTTAATTAACTTATCTATAAGCTTTATGCTTCCACTGTTAAAGAACTAGGTCTACTATATTACTACTATTAGTAACTATTAGTATAACTTACTAGCTTCTTACTTACTAGCTTTATGTTGTTTTTTGTGGAAAAAAGTCCTAATTATTTATTTATGTCATGGACATCTTCTTTTCTTTGTTCAAAAATAATTATATGGTTATTACTAGCTCTGCTAATCTAAGTGTTACGTCGTAAAATTTGTTTTAAAATTTTACAATTGTATGCTCAATTAATTTTGCTTTTGGCATGAAAGAACAAATCCATTATTCCCTGCGGTAATTTAGTACTCAGAGAAAGCGAAAACCTTGAAACAATTGAAATAATTACTTCATAACGACTTTCAATTCTGAAATTATTTGTATTTGAAAGAATTGTTGGCAAGATACCAATTTTTTGATGCTATAAATGAAAAATATTGAAGTTATCGTTATCAGAGTGTGTCGATGGAATTGATTATTTTGCTCATTTAAAGCCTGCTCAGTTTTATCTGACAGATTTCTCTGATCAGTCCAATTATTACTTATCTATCAATATGATGTTATTTGACTGTCACAATTAAATCGAAAACATCTCGTTGTAAATATAATTATGTGCTCCATTACAGTTAGGGTGCAATTTCACGCCGCATTCATGGTGCAAGAGTCACCCGCATGCGAGAACCGCTTTCATTGGTTATTACGACCTGTATGTGTACAGCTATATTACTTACTTTTACTTACCACACATGATGCTCGTCGATAGAGTCCCGCCTTATACTTGCTCTACAACGACCGATCATATTTATCAGTCGTTACCCGCATGCGGGGATTCCCCGCATGCTTGATATTTTCGAATCAAATTGTATTTAATGTTGGTAGTTTATTGTATCGTCGATAGTAAGTGGGAAGTGAATTTAATTCTTCAACTGTACTACAATTGTATGACGCGGCAATAAAGCCCGCCTGTGCCGTGAATGAACTTTTTAATTACATTTCATCCTGTGTTGCCTGTGTACAACACATGTTTTATTTTACCAAACAAAGCTACCACTCTAAATTTTTTTCGATGTCACTTCCTTTACTCGGTTAACAAAATATGCAAAAAATTGTTTTAAAACTTGTTAACAATTTATTTTTTATCTTTTAGAATATGCATAGTATAGCAAATTAAATGTGGATAAAAAAATTGGCAACTAAACAGTGTCTGTTTTTTAGAGTAATCTTACCAATATAATAAATGCGAAAATTTAGATAGATGGATGGATGTTTGTTAGAGGTTATAGACTAAACTGCTGAACGGGTTTTGATGTCATTTGGCATAGATGTAGAGGTTAATCTAGAAGACATAGGCTACTTACTTTTGTATTAAATCCAGGCGGACAGAGTTGCGGGCGGAAGCTATAGATTCAAAAGGATATAAGAAATAAAACGATATATCCGACGTATAATTTGTATTAAATCAACAATAATCTTAGTCTTACATTCTTTGGTATATCAGCTCGTCTTTAGGTACAATTAACTATAAATTCAACTTCACATTACCTCGATCTGATTTACACAACTAATAAATTAAACTATTTTATACAATTCTATATTTATTTCAAGTTAACCCATACGACAATGTATAGCAATAGAAGGACTTGGCACGTTTGCAGCTTGGCCGCGGAACCTGGTGACGTCACTGGAAAGAAAAACCCATTGAGAGGAATATTTTAAAATATATTACTGGCAAATTGTTATTTAACAATAGCGAATGGGTCGTTCGCATTCGGAACTTATTTTATTGTTCGTAGTTGAATTCTCGCTTATTGGTCGCGATGACCTATATGTGGATTTATACTTCAAATATATCGGATTTTGAAGATATTTTTATCGTATAACCAAAGATTTGTATAAACGTATAAACAAAATTTTTTCACAGGTGATTTCTCTGACAAATACTACATCAGTCATCAATCATCATCAAACTTGACAAGTTTATCGTGTCCTTGTATTGACACTTTACAAAATTATAATATTGCACCGACAGAAATGTAGGGACTCACTGGCGACAGTTAGCGTTCACACTGTGCTAGTTCATTTCCAGTTATAGGGCGCTACTATACTGGCCAAGTTAACTGCGCATTACAGTGAAACGATGACGTCAAAGATTAAATCCATCAATTTATAATCTGACTAGGTGATTTACAAAGAAGAAATATAGATTCACAATAGCGAGGAAAACATCAGTTTCTGTTGTCTTGTTTCTGCAAACCCTTTTGACTAAGGATTCGTTAACACCAGTAATAACTGCGCAGTAAATTTATAACATCCTTATGGTAATATTTTAAATGAATTTGACGAAATCCCGTTACCACGTTCGTGGCTTTTCCAAGAACAGCAACATTGTGAAACTACCGTATAAATATAGAATCCAAGTGAATTTGTGTTTCTAACATTATCTCGTGTTTGAACATCTAAGAGCGGACGTACACCTTTGACTAAACTATCGCACTACTGTTGCGCGATACTTTTTCAGCCAATAAAATTGTTTAGTTGCACAACTAAAAATCGATTATATGCGCACCTCCATATAAGCTCATAGGAATCAAAGTAAGACTAAACAGTTGTGCGAGTTAGTTAAAGTTCGCGCGCTCTAAATGTGAATTTAATAAAAAAATATATAGGGTATAACTTAATATGTCCCAGTTCAATTGCATGATTTCTTATAAAAACAGTACCAACCTAAACCATTTAAACTATTATTCTAATATCTTACCAGTATTATAAATGCGAAAGATTAGATGGATGGATGTTTATTAGAGTTTGTACCCTAAACCGCTGAACGGATCTCGATGAAATTTGGCATAGACGTAAATGATAGTCTGGAAGAAAACAGGCTACTCATTTTTATTTTAATTCCAAACGGACGGAGTCGCGGGCGAAAGCCAGTTAAAATATAATAAAACTAGCTACAGTACCTAACCTACAAAGTATTACACTATTACATTCAACAACCACTGAACTGTCCTACACGCGTCGATTCTAAATGTATTATGACTGAACAACGGTTCAGTGTTTGTAGGAAATTGTGTCCGTCAATGAGCCGGGAGCAATAATTTACTGAGCTTCAATGGGCTCTTTGCTAAGATCTTATTATCTGTTTCCTCTCGCATTGGCCGGAGATCTTTTACCGTTCATACCCACATTGTGTTAAAGATAAGATTTTGTGACGTCATCCCTATTTGATATCGCAATTATGTTCATCAGCTTGAAATATGCATTCATTACAATGTTATATATTGTTAAATAGGTTTTCTATTCGGTGATCAATATACTAAAGCCCACTACACACGCTCAGTATAATCTGACAAATTCATCTGAACAGTCCGATTGTTCTGATAAAACTGAACATGTGCAACGAGCTTTAGTAGATTTTTTTAACGAATTTAAAACTTTTCTAACGCACAATTTCACCTAGACTCTATGAAAGTGATAGCTTAAAAATGACGTCATTGTCAGATAAGGTAACAAAATCAGATATTTCCATCACATATTTTACACGTTCGATTGTTATCAGTTATACAATATGGTGTGATCGGCCCTAAACTTAGTAATGTTATAAATGCAAAAGTTTAGATGGAAAGATGCTTGACAAGGTTTGTAGACTAAACTATCTATTAAACGGATCTCGACGAAGATATAGACGTGGAGGATAGTCTGGAAAAACACATAGACTACTCATTTTAAATTTCACGAACGTAGTCGCGGGCGAAAGTTAGTGAATAAATATACTCCTTAATATCTTACCTCGTTCAATTTTAGGATCACTGTTAGCTGAATAGAGTGCGACAGCTGAATTATCTCTATAAAGTTCTCCGAGCTTGGCCTCGCAGCGCAGTATGGGAGCGCCGCGTTCGTAATGAGCCGGCCATAGTTGTATCTGGACGTATTGTTCTGAACGGAACAGTCCCTCCGCTGCCGGTTGCACGTTATACATACCAGGGGAAACCTGGCAAATAATGTATTTTAGTCAAATATATAGTTATCCGTGTAAAGGATTACAATTAAGAAATAACCTTTAAATAAGAAATGTCAGAATTCATTAATTATAAATTGAATTAAGCATAATTAAACCTAAATCTCCTAAAAGGAAAACCAAAGATACCATAAAATATTAAAATACAGTCGAACTTGGATAAGTTAGAATTGGTTAAGTGAGAAACCTCTATGACTTAGAATTATTGTCCTCTCCCAATAGACGAGCTTCGTAAGTAAAAGATTTCTATAAGCAAAAAAAAAAAATTCGCGTTCAACTTACGCTTATCCAAGTTTGATTGCAGTGGTTGATTACACTCAGATGTTTTAGATGCAAATTAATGGTCAGTAAACTATCATCAGTAAAAATAACGTACAAAAATGTTAAAACTTCATATCTAAACAAAGAACTAAAGAAATTGTATTATGTTCGCAACATTAAATATGTAAACAAGGCCCATTTCAATCACTATCTATCAAAGACAACGAAACTCATAACTTTAATATGAATCCAGCAAAAAAAAGTGTCGACAAGAAATTCCGCGCGGAATACAACGTACATTTCCAGCAAAACAATCTCATACGGTACAAGGAGAAATTTCAATCATAATAAAACTTTCACGAACATAAAGTCAGCGGAGTGTGTTATGTTTACAAAAAAATATGATATCAGTAAAGACCGCTACACACGCTCAGTTTTATCTGACAGATTTATCTGAACAGTTCGATCGTTCAAATAAGTGTAAGAAAATTGGAAGCTGTTCAGTCCTCTGCTTTGCTTACGTTAGATTTATCTGAACTATACAACGCTTTAGATATATCTGTCAGATAAAACTGAGCATGTGTACGGGCTTTATACTAACTGTGATATGTTACTATGTATACTGAGATCTGATTTATTTTATTAGATTATCTCATTTTTATTTCATTACTGCTATAAAGATAGAGTAAACGTTAAGGATTCCGCGAACATTTTAGATACCATATCTAATCCATGTTTCTAAGATTGTCACTTAATCTAAGGCTAATGGTGTATTTTCCTTAAATCTAAGCTAACATATTTTTAAGAATGTTTTTATTGTCCCATAACTTAAAAGTAGATTAAGTTCGATTCGTATTATCTCGAAAAGTGAGTCGAAAGATGACAGATATGTTTAAATTTAAACGAAGGTAAAATTTAAATTGTTCATACAAGTTAATTAATGTTAAGCAAAAACAGGTAGTAATTTTAAAAGAATTAAGCTTTACGTTCTCGTAAAATAAACTTTTTTATCCAGCAATGAACTGAATGAGGGCTTATGTTTTTGTTTTGCGTGCTTAATTAAAACATAACGTATGGCACTTAGTTTATTTTATTTTCGCATTTTTAATACAAATCCAGTTTTACGTGATTACTTAAAATTATGTGTTTCTAGAATGCAAGCTTATTTTTATTTATATGAAAATATTAACATAATTCTTGTTTACGTGCGTCTAAATTTTAATGTTCGCGGTTTTATTTACTTTTTAGTCCAATACATAGTTATTTATTTTAAATTGCGATATACAAAAAAATATGTTACCACGTTTTTAGGGAAAATAACATTTTGTTCTACAAAAATGGCAACAGTAAAATTTTACTATATTAACAAAATTAAGTCAAAAAAGCAACACAAAGTAGACATTTCAACAATAAGGACTAATTCCACGGCCGTCATTTAAACACGATACGGGAGCTAAAATAATTTGTTTTACTTCAATGAATTTTCGCAAGTGGCTCCAGCGTTTATACAAGGCAAGCGGTTTGTTACATACATTGCCATTTTGTGGCCAACCCGTATAACGGTCGGCTCGCCTCAGGCGATTTGGGGGAGCACAGAATTAGAATAATTAAACATTCTATATGCGAAAAATCATGTTAAAAGAAACGTAAAACACGGTACGGTATAAATTTTCAAAGAACCTAAAAAGGGTAATATATTTAGTATATTTTAACTTCTTATAAACGACTGATAAGTTAAAACTTTGCCTACACACGCATAGATATGACTTAACATTTCGATTTTTTATTACTGAAAGGGTCAAACGAGCGAAGAGACCATCAAGTTGATCAACGACCCCCATGGACATCGACTTTCATTTAAAACTGTCAGATTTTTTTTCCATCTTACGTAATTTTATTTTCACAAAATTTCTGTTTCATAAATTGCTTCATAATACGTGATACTATTACGTCTTGAAGAACAATTTTGGAAATCACAAGTTTTTGACAAAAAACTTAAAAGCTTTGTCTGTAATGCGAGGAAACGCTAGTTTCTAATTCAGTTTTTGTGAATAAAATATTAATTAAATGTTGACGTTAAGTTGTAAGTGAATAAGTTTCCGAAAGAAGCTTAAATTTCTCTTGTAATTGGGTAAGTTCTTGTTCCAAAAGAGCATCGAATTTAATACAAATTGCTTTCATAGTTTCTTGAACGATGTTATAGTCAATTTTCTTTGGAATTTATAAAATGAACTAAAACTCATTTTACGGAACCAAATGTTATTACGATGCAATTTAACTTCAAACTTCTTATTTTAAATTAATATAGCACAACGCTTTTTAATGAAAGCGGAGTAGTCAGATATGCATTTCTCATTATTTAATAGTATAAGATGACAAAAGAGAAACCGGAATTCGCCAAAATATCGAAGTGACCGCTACACAAAGATGCTTTCCCTACCTTAAATCAACAGAGGAGAAAACGCATAGAACGAGGATGATTCTCCCCCTATGCGGCTCATCCTCAAACTCTAACTCTCCCCTTTAGATTGAAATACTCTTTCATATATTTTAGATTCCTAAATTAGATTTTTAAGGTACACAAATCAGTATCAGAAAACTAAATAAAGTAACTCGAAGAATTTTACACTCGAAAATTTTAAAGGGTTCCAAGATCATATCAACGGTTCCTAGAATTCATGTGAGCATTTTGCGGTTTTATATTCGGTATGAAATTACACGTGTGTGAAATTTACACAATGTCTGCGGTATTTCAAACCTCGACTGGAATTAAAATTGCGAGCGTCATTTTTAACATTTGTTTTTTTTTCGTGAATTTAAAATGTGCTCCTGTTTACATAAATACAACGTTTTTAGAAACCACAGATTTGCAGAGAATTATTAATTGAATAACATAGAATATTACTGAAATATTTGAAGACACAAAAATATAAATCCAGAAGAAATGGTTTTGAAAAATCGAATTGTAATTCATAGTAAAATAATTTTTACATTATAAAAAACAGATTAAATACCCTTTTCTTATACGAAAAGGAAGAGAAGTGGATTTGACTGTGGAGGGCACTCATAGGAAGGGGAAAAATCTACTTTTCTACCGAAAATCTTACTAATAACTAATAAACGCACATCTTCGTAACCCTAACATATAAGATTCAAGCGGATTATGCAGTGTTAGCATTCGCGATAAGTGGGAACCTTAGTTGGTACCTATACAGCAAGGAAGATAGATTTATTATAACAAGCCAATAGTAATCTTTTAACTCACCGGTATATCATTGACGTAAAACGTGAGTTCGGAAGGCGGGCGACTCGGACCCGAAGTACAGTTAGCTCGCAGGATATCTCCAGGCATGTAGTAATGTTGACTTGTGTGGATCACAGGAGAAGATGGAGGTAATACTGTTTATAATAAAAAGAATACAATTGACCTAGTCATCTTACTAATATTATAAATGCGAGTTTAGGTGGATGGATCTTTGTTAGAGTTTGTAGTCTACACGGCTGAAAGGATTTCGATGAAATTTAGCATAAATATAGAGGATAGTCTGGAACAACACATAGGCTACTTACTTTTGTTTTTAATCTCAAGCGTCGCTGATGAAAGTCTTTTTTTTTTTACTTTTGGAATATTGACTACTAACTTGAATAAAGTCATGAAATACAGGAATATGAGAATCATCATTTAGTAGTAAATAAAACACAAAAACGTAACACTTAAGTTGTTGAAGTAAACACGGGTTTGCACCTCATTGCAGGTCATTGTACTACTTGACACTGTTCGCGGGAGAGTACGAACAAGTTGAAACAGACAGATTTTATACTTTATGCTTAGCTATTCTAAAACAAACATTTAACTGTAACTTTAAACGTTCATTGTTATTTTTAATGCCACCTAAAATCTAAATCAACAAAGCATTGACTTCACACACTGGACTAAAACTTCGGTTTTCAAAATCAGCGAAGCCCGTTTTAAAAAAAACCCTATGTAACTTATCTTAACTTTACTTATTACTTATATTTATTGTTTACAATGAGCAAGCTAGCCCTTGACTCCAGGCTCCAGGGTGTTAAATGATATTTTCGAAATGTACTTGCAAACTTAATGAATTCCTATCATGTAAGCAAAAAAAAACTAATATTGCAAAGAGGAAAGATTTGTATTTTTGAATTTTTGTATGTATTGAAATAGCTCAGACCTGGGTCGATTTCACAAACACTTTCACCATTGAAAAGCTAGGTTATCCTGAGTAACATAGGCTATAGCCTAAAAAAATAGTAAAAAATACTGAAAAAATGTTTTTTACTATTTTTTAATTTCATGCGAACAAAGTCGCGAGCAACATCTAGTTAGTCATAAAAAGGTAAAGGATAAAATTCAACGTAACTTACCAACAACCTCCATATTGTTGGACACAATAGATGTTGCAAAGGACGGCGCATCGGCTGTCACCTCACAGCTGAAGTTCCCAGAGAGACCAAAACTCACCCGCGTCAGCACCACTTGGCTTTGATTAGATCTGGCCAGCTGGAACAAATGTATACTATGACGATAATGTCCTCCGTGACGTAACCGTTAATGGCGAACCTTGCTAATTACAAGATAATATCGAACTTAGTTTAAAAGGTACAATGCATATTATAACCTGCAAACGTTTAATTACAATTTTCTATTAAAATGAACTAGTATGACGGTTCTGTTAAAGCACATGGTTGGTCAATCTTACAATTTATGTGATGCGGGCTGTCAAAGAGCTTTGAATTCTTAATTAAAAAAACCGTGTTGGCGTTTTTGACTTTTCAAATTTATTACTTGTTCTACTTTATCAATGTTTGTCAAAAATGTTTGCTATATTTTAATTTAAAAAAAAATTAGTGCGAAAAACTTTTAGCATACAAAAAACTACTTTAACATTCAATCTTGGACGATCAACATTTTTTTTTCATCAAGCGTAGTACAATTTTCTCTAGGCTTATCACATACGGAGGCAAAAAGGCAAAACACGATAGATTACGGTCCGTTTTCAGACAGACCGCTGTTATTAATGTCGGATATAACCAGTAGAAGCTGAGCTCTAATACAATACAAAATAAAAACAACACGGTAGCTGGTAAATGACCCATCGGGTTATTATCGCGAAACAAGAGTTCGTGATAAAGGAGTTGGATTTATGAACATCTGCCGCGTAGCGAAGAAATATGGCAGAGTTACGTAAAAAATCGCTTACTAACTGCTTTGAGAAAACAGAAAACATACTTTATAACGAATTTTCGTTGTGGAAAACAAAGTATTTATCGTTAATTTTTTGAACTCTTAGAATAAAAATATAATCGAATGAAAACTCACATATCAAATATAGATAACATAATTTATATCTATACTAATGTTATAAAGATTTGAACTTTTTGATATAATGAAATAACTCCGAAACTACTAGGCCGATTTCTAAAATTCTTTCACCATTGGAAAGATAATTTATCTGTGAGTAAGATAGGCGATATCTTTTATTATTTTTCAATTTCACGCGCACAAAGTCGCGAGCAACAGTTAGTTTTTAATATGTCCCTTCTATGTAATAAAATAGTACTATATATGTACATAAGTAATGACGATTTGGTTAAAACATCTTTTTCGTTAGTCTCTATATTGTAAGAAGTTTCTTTCAAACTGTCTACTATTAGATATTTTGAGTTATGCCCGTCCCTTACATTCACTATATCGTTAAAGAAGGATAAAGGAACATGCTTACCGCCTGCAGCTATTCAACGAACGTGTTACTCGATGTGAAGTATTTCAGGTCAAGGGTTACAAGTACGATGAATACATTCTAGCATCGACACTAGAAGGAATTTTACCTCTACATTTCTATTATAGAAGCGAACATTTAAGGAAATATAAGAACAGGATATTTTTATTTGTGTTATAATATGGCAAACCAGCAAGCGGCCATCTTTTCTACTTAAGAAAACGGTGGAAAAGAAGGAAAGGGTGGAAGGCACATTCATCTGACGAAACGCAGAATTGCTCCCACTTCACGCCTGTCTTTCGTGTGGTCGTGGTATGTGCACCAGACGAGCTGGCCCTATAGTATGAAATGCTTCCTTGCATACCACTAATACGCCTCGTACACTCTTATAAACTAGCATGCTAACTACTAATCTATATTATTAGGTGTATTCCCGCTTATCTAGCGGTCTCTGATTCGAGTCCGGTATAGTACGATGAATTAGTGTTTTCGTAGTTAAGTACTGATGTGTTCAGTTGGTCATGATACATGCCAGCTTTGTAAATGCTTACCCACCTAATTGTTGAACACCCTTTTGGTTGAACACTGATACTGTTCAACATAATCATAGTTAAAGAACATTATTTTAATAATCTGCTTACATTGGTGATATCAAAGGTTACTGTCAATTACTTACGTTAAGAAAGTTGTATCTTAGTTAAAAGACTGCGGTGAAAGACCGTAACATAAATAATGTTTAGGAAGACAGGGCAGTCAAGTGCTTTATTGCCCCATTACCATTAATCATAATTTACGTTTAGACCCATCTTAGGGTGAAGTAAGATCGATAACTCTTTTACAATGGACTGTTGACTAAATTATCTTTCTAAGACATACGGGTATTTAAATAAGCTAAAAAAAAATAAGCACAAATTATCATAACCAGATAGATACTTAGAAAATATTTGATTTGATTTTCGAAATTAGACAATTGCATATAGTGTAAAAATGTTCGTCACTTTAAAGGAACTAAAGAGCCAATACTTTTGAAAACGAAATCACATACGTTTAAAATGGAACCTTATTCTTATATACATTAAGTATACATTTACATGCAAATTTCTATTACTTTGTAAAGATACTCCTCGACTTGATAAAGGAACGACTGCAATATGACGAAGGTTTTCCCACCTTAGTTTTACAAAGAAATCTTTTTTATTAGTGAAATAAAAAACGTGTAAAAGGAAAACTGTTTTAAAGGAAAATTATTACATAAGGTGACAAATAAGAGAACGGCCTATAGTCGCAGAAAAGGCGTAGCGTTGCCTACCCTTAAATAGCGAAGGAAGACTCGCATGTAAAGAAGTTAATCTTTCTATGCTTGTCCTCCACCATCAAATTATCTTTACCTTCCCATCCTTTCCATATAAAGTTGGGAAAGGAAAGGGACTTAAAAACGGCTCGTGCCGAGGCTCCTGAGGGAGCCCTCGAGCTTAGTTACTCAAAAACGAGGTTTAGGCTAAGCGCCATCTGCGCTCGGCCACCTCAAGCCCGGTGAATCTGTAAATGCCTCTTCAAGGCAAACAGTGGCCATTCAGTCACAAAAAAAAGGGACTTAAATTTACTACTAGGTACTAGGTACGTAAATAATATTTTAATCAAGAAAAATCTAATCTTAATAACAAAGGAGTTAAACGTGCACAATAACGTTGTTATAGAATATTGTTTGAAAGCGTTCAACCGAGAAAGCTATGTAATCGCGTATTATAAAATGAAGCAGATTAATTAACTGCTATTACAGGATTTTCATGTTTGAAGTTTACAGTAAGAGCACACATTTGACTAAACCATCGCACACCTGTTGTGCGATTGTCGATTGTTTTGCAACCAATTCAACTGTTTAGTTGCACTATTAAAAAATTAAGTAGTGTACCTCCATATACTCATAAGTATCAAAGCGAGACTAATCAGTTGTGCGATAGTTTAGTTTCACGTGTTAGCTCTTAATGAAAGATATAAGTGAAAGTTAAAATTACCAGAATGATGTTAAGAATACTCAAATATGAAAAATGCATATTTTTAATTCTGTTTGTGGTAATAAAGATTTAAGTCAATAAGTAAACGTTAACCTCAAAATGACTGTAACTGAACAGTGAAAGAGATTATTGCAATAACTATTTTAAAGGGCAAAATTATTGCAAAGAGCTATGGGGTTAGAACTTGGCAAAATCTAAGTATTTCACCATTTGTATTCATCTTAATTTTTAATGTACTATATTTAATCTAATCGCTTCATCTTACATTTTACGGAATTACATTTGAGTTTGTGATAGGAATTTAATTAATTTAGAAAGCTGGCAAATTTTGTTAATAACAAGCCAATGATTAATAGTCGTCAAAATCTGCTTTATGTTTTGATTTGTTTAATAAATTGACGTAGCAAATAACATTATTACAAAGCTGTTTCTGAATGTAATTGAATTTACTCCATAATACTTGTAAAATTCTGTTCGTTTATGATATTGACTAGCTGTTCCCGTGCGACTTCATCCGCATAAATTATGAAAATTTTATTTTGTTGTTTACATCTGTCAAATTATCAATTACAAATGTCAAAATGTAAACGAAGACCTTGCTCCCTTGATGTTGGCAGCAACTATGGTCTCTTTTTTTCACCCCCTAAGTTTAATGCCCTGAAAATATATAGCATAAAGCGTGACGCACGTGTAGGGCTTTTAACTAAAAAAAGAATTATTCAAAAATTTGCTGTAATTGCTGACATCTTAGGCAACAAAGAAGTGTGTGTTTACGCTTTATTGTAATAGTATAGATATAGATTGACCTAAAAATTATTCTATCACTTAATTCTTCCCTCTTAAATAACATTCGAATGTAAGGAAAATGTGATATTTAAAAGTAATAGATATGCAAATAAACAGAAACTGAAATATCATAGGATATCATTTTGCTGTCAAAGAAAATTTGCCATATTTGCATGCAAAACTTTAAAGTGAGCAAACTTATATGTTTATTATGCTGTGAGCGTAGAACTTTACCTTACCTTTCCTTATTCAGAATTATATAAATGACATCTAGTTCATTGAATATATTAAACTATTCTTAACATAGTTACATTAAAACACAAGACACTGTTTACTTCCTTACCCTTATCTATCTATACTATTATAGTAAAGCGTAAACACACACTTCTTTGTTGCCTAAGATGTCAGCAATTACAGCATATTTTTGAATAATTCTTTTTTTAATAAAAAGCCCTACACTTACGTCAGGCTTTAGGCTATATATTTTCACGCTATTGAACTTAGGGGATAAATATCTTGATAAAAACCCTAATGTGGGAAAGAGACCATACGATACGAGCTGCCAACATCAAGAAGCAAGATTGCCATAGTAAGGTAATTGGTATTTTGACATTTGCAATTAATAATTTGACAAATGTAAACAATAAAATATTTTTTTATAATTTCCTGCAGATGAAGCCGCATGGGACCAGTTAGTGTAAAGATAAAATAGACAAAACAAGCCTCCATTATCTAAGAGTACGATTTTGGACAGATATTAAAAAGTTTATACCTAACATCGAAATGACTTCAATCAAGAAAAATATATGTCGGAGTTGGGTCTTTCTCCCCGACATCTTTGCTACCGAGTCTTGGTTTCGTGGTCGTCATTTGGGTGAAGTGCGAGCATTAAAACACTAGAGACACGGATTAACACAATATAATTCGGAATCTACACTTATCACAAAGCAAATCAACAAGCAAGACCGAGCAGCGGGTTCGTGGCACCCGCTCGTACCTCTACTACACTACTCTCCTCAATCGACTCGCCACTCTGCCAACACGCACCACAACATGTCACTACAAACGTCGCCCTCTAAGCACTGAACTGCGCCTCGATCCCGCTCGAGCTAATAAAAGCCACTCGAGCCGCTTGCTCTGCTCTTATTGGTCGTATGCAAGTTGACGTACTTTTAATTTTAAAAAGAACTAAATACAAATGACATCGAGTTTCTACTTTCGAGAAAAAGGAATTAAATTAATAATTTTATCTTAAACAATATTAAAACGCAAGACAATAACGTTTGTTACACATAAAGCAACAGTCAATTTATAGCTTCCTGCGACATATATAAATACTAGTTCCATTTATTTGATAACTTCAAGTCTTTCAACATACTAATATTATAAAAGCGAAAGTTTAGATTGGTTGACTGCTGTACAAATCTCAACGAAATTTGGCACATAAAGGATAGTCTGGAAGAACTAATAGGCTACTTTTGTTTCTTTTAATTCTTCACAGACGGAGTCGCGGGCGAAATCTAGTGTTTATAATAATTAATACTTACATCAACGTTAATTCCGGCGAATGGGAATATCTTGGTAGCGGGTTGTTCTGTAGGCGAGTATCGGTAGAACTCGTGTCTCCCCCTGTACCATTTGACGGAGTAGAGGGGGGCGTCAGTGAGCTCGTAGAGGCAGGCAAGCGTAGCGTCAGACCCGCGTTGTACGACCGGTGGAGAGATTCGTAGCTCCGTAGCTCGTAGACCTCCTATACCTGATTATAGATTTTAATCTATAGTACTTACCTAGTTATAAAAATCTCTTAAGACGACATTTAGAATTATTATACGAAATATTACGTGAGTGTAGCACTATTTGATCGCATCAATGTACATTTAATAAAAACAGATATGTCTAAACGATTTATTAAACACTAACAATCCCCCGCGACTCTTTCCGCGTGGAAAAAAAGCAAAAGTATGCAGCCTATATGTTCTTCCAGACTATACTCTATATATGACAAAATTCATCGAGATCCAGCCGTTAACGTTACAAATTAACAAACATCTATCCATCTAAACTGACTTAGTTTACTAAACAAATCTTATGTACATATTCCTAACAAGTAATACTAACGAAATAAATGAAGTTAGCAATGTTATCTTTGTTTTCAACAATAATATTAAACGTCGAAGCTACCCTAAAGGCATTTAGTATTAAAATGTAAAGATTAAACTAACATAGTTTAGTATAGATTATATTACTGATAGTACGTGATATATGATCGTGGGGAAATGAAAATGTCATAACTCCCAGACTCCCGTTTCTAGGAACACTATGAAAATTTAATGTCTCTCTAAGTTTCGTTATTGTATACGTCACTCATGTTTTAACTATGTCATCATTAATATATGTGCACAGGAGATAACTTGTGTTTTCGCTATACCGTTAAAAGTCTACAAGATAAATTTAAACTAATTGAAGGACTGTTCCTCTGAACCTCGATAACTCAAACCTTGGTAACTTAAAAACCTCTATAACTTCAAAAAGTAATATGTTCCCTTCCCATTTGAGCCCAAACACTCTATAACTTAAAATATTTTGTGTTTCCCTTAGACTTTAAATTATCTAGCTTCAACTGTATCTATTATAAAAGAGAAATTTTTGATAGATTGTAACAACAAACATGTTAGAGTTTTTAAACTGCAAGACGGATCTCGATGATAGATGTAGAACACAGTCTTTTTTAATTCCACGCGAAAAGTCGCGAGCGAACGCTAGTAATAAATAAGAGCAATCTACTCTTAATCTAAACATCTAAACAGTAAAGCAAAATGGAGTCGGACTTTTCACCCTATTAGACGCCTAATTCCCTTTTAGATTGACAAGTTAAGACGCAAATTGACTCCGGAGACTGAACTTCTTACAAAGCTTTCTGAACTAAAAGCATACCAAAACTGGAAGGTGAATTTCCGCACGTAGGAAGTTAGTCCGTAAGAATTTCCCTTTGTTTCGCTCCCTTTCATTTTGTTAGCAGAAACTGTTTAAGGGCAACAGACGGTTAGATTGGAATTGGTACGAGGAAAAAGTTTTAAATCGTCCCTATTTGTACGGACGCAAGCATTGTCTTGATCCACTCTATTCTGAAGGAATATCTATAACGTGATACGCTTTGTGTCTTAGTGGTTTAAATAGGGACCTGAAACCTCGAATAACCCACAAGACAACTAAACAAAAGACGGTACTAGATACAAGAAATGAGAATAAAATGTTGAAAAAAACAATTGAAGTACAATAAAAATATTTGAAAACAAATGCAAGCACTAATTGTGACGTAGATGTTCTAAATTTGAACTCAAGACTATTAAACTCAGTACACTATTTCTTTTAAAAGAAATAATTCTTATAAAATAAACCGAGAGGTAAAGAAAACCACGCACACTGCAAACTAAAGTTAGCTTGGATTTCCGACAAAACATCATATAATTGCAAATGTTGCTCTTATCTGAATCAAAGTCTCGTAAAAATGGCATTACTGGACAGATAAAACCCGGAATAGGAAAGTCCCGAACCGTTAGTACCTTTATCTAGCTGAGACTCAGCAGTTATTCCCCAAGTTATTGGATACGTACGCAAAATAATGTCATAAATAAAATCCACGCAAAACTTTTTATTTCAACGAATTACATTACAAAGCTAATGTAATTTTTGTATTCGATACAAACTCGCTTCGATGAAATCTCTATATATTTTTGTCTGTACAATTTATTAATGACAGTCTTCTTTCAAGTGAAAAGTCTACAATATTTTAAAGCACATTTCCGTGATTATCATCGCTTAGTAAAAGGTCAATGACTTGCAATTTTAAACTATGTAATTTTACAAGGACCAAAATTATATCCAGTATACCAAATACATACATAATGGGGTTTAAATACATCTTACTAATATTAAAAACGCGAAAGATTAGATGTATGGAGTTCGTAAGAGTTTACCGCCTAAGCTTCTGAAAAGATCTCGATGAAAGGCATTGTAGAGCAAAGTCTGGAAGAATACATTGGATAGTTTTTTTTAATTCCATGACACAGTCACAGGGAAAGCTAGCATGAGAGTATTTTATACTATCTTATGAACCCGAATTCTTAATCAAAATACTATAAGGATTATACGATTAGGTAAAATTTGAAGTGACTTATGTTACTTACCAACAACATCAAGCCTCCCCGTAGCGGTGTAGTGAGGGAAGGTGTGAGCATTTTGTATAACTTCGCAACTATAGTTCCCGCTGAGAATCGGAGTAACACGTAGTAATACTACATGTGTCTCGTTCGAATTAAGTCTCTGTTGAATGTATTATGTTAAAATTTTACGAGCTTGAGTTTAATTCTGCCTTCAGTTTATTCTTGATATTCAAGCGCCAATATCCTAATGGTTTGGGGTACGGACTACCGATCTTGCGGTCGAGGGTTCGAATCCCGCCATTCGACTGTCGTGAACCATATCCTAGCACAAGCCTAGAGCTTAGTTGGAATGGTTAAAATATTAGTAAATCAATAAAAATCTACTAATATTTTTAATAATAAAAAAACTGACGTAATTGTACAGAACATTATCATTATTTTCGTTTATCGAACTCTACGCTTATGGAACACAGATATAGAGTACAAAAATCTTTAGTCAGATTCTATTCTAGATCTGGTATTTGAATAGTTTACTATATCTATGTAAGTTTGTCACAAATATTACTTGTTAGATATTAAATAATTAATTAGAATAATAATAATTAAGAAAGTATCATTTATGTTTGTCTGTCTTCGAGAATTTCAAATGCTGAAACTTACATCAACTTTAACCCCACTAACGGGGGTAACTCTAGTCGTAGGAGATTCTAATGGTGTATATCTATAGAACTCCTGCGTACCCCTGTACCACTGTACGGAGTATATTTCACTGTCGTCTACTTGATGTATGCACGCCATTGTGACGTTTCTTCCTCGTTGAACGACCCGTGGTGTGATCCGGAGTTCCATGGTACGGAACCCACCGGCTTCTGTGGGCAAAGAATAAGAATTGTTAATAGAAGCTAATTTGATTTTATGACTATAACCAGCTTTCGTCCGCGACTCCGTCCGCGTATTATTAAAAAAAAGAAAGTAACCTGTGTTCTTCCAGACTATCCTCTACGTCTATTATTTATTTCATCGAAATCCATTCAGCCGTTTAGTCTACAAAGTCTACATCCATCCATCCATATAGTTAAATTATCAAACCGCTTCAAATGCTTCAAATGGATTTAGGAAATTTTACCTATGGGTGTTTTTCTTTGTCTTTCATGGCATTTGTTCCGTTTAAAAAAAAAAAAATCTAACTGTGTTTTAACAGCTAGTCGCAACAAATACACCAGGCGCAATAAAACCAACGTTTTTTACATTTTCGTTTTTTAAAAAAAGACATACAATAATGAACAGACGCTTTCAATAGGAACTAACGTAGGATTTAAATCCTAGAGGAGCATATCTCACATTCTGCGCTCGTTGTAACGTATTTTAATCCATATGCAACGGTTTTTAAGCTCCGACGGTCGCACGTGAATCAGGACTGAAAAAATTATTTCAACATCATTGTGATGCATGAGGTTCTGAGATTTCCAATAGTGGAATATATTACGAATTTGATCCCGGTAAAAATATTTTTTTTTAAATTAAATAAGCAGATTTTTTTTAAATACCTCAAGCAAAACATACTTCAATATTCCATGTCGTACTAAATGTACAATCACGGCTATCCGCAGTGTTTCAGTAACAAAATGCCTTATTCATTGTAACGAGACAAATTCCGCTTACAAACCAATAACGTATCAGTGAGATACGGGATTACGTTATAATAATAATATGCAATTAGCTGCATATGACTTCCTTTTTCCGTAGTCACATTTAAGGTAGAACACCGCCAGCTTCCCTGATTGTACATCATTGTAATTAAAAAATTAACTACGAAGTAATTAGGTAAGTATGTACAGTCTCGTCTTATTCGTTAGGAAAATACTGTTTAAACTGATTTCTCAGAACCGAAATTTATTATCTCAAACTTCAGCGTACGAGCTAAGTTTTCTTACTTTAAACAGAACTTGTACACTATACTAAGAGGTTATCAAGCTATCATGTTAGTCCTAAGTTTAAGTGTGTTCGTGTGTAGTTCGTTGTAAGTATAACATGTTTAATTTATGCTTACAAAGCTTAAGCCTATGTTGTTCCAGATTATGTTCTGCATGTGACTAATTTCATTGAGACCTAGTAAACGTAAAAGTTCTAAATACGTAGTAATATACGTCTTTCCATCCATCCATATTATTTATAACTAGCTGTTCCTGTGCGTCTTAATGCGCATGCAATTTTAAGAACTTTTTTTTTTTATTGTTTATATTTGTCATATTTTCAATTGAAAATTTAAAACCTTCCTTCCGTAATGTTGAAAGCTTGTAGTTTATGGTCCCTTTCCCACATTAAGGTTTTTTACAATTTATTTGCCCCCTAAATTTAATAGACTAAAAATATTTAGCCTAAAGCGTGACGTAAGTGTATGGCTTTATATTACAAAAAGAATTATTCAAAAATATACTATTTTTGCTGACATCTTACGCCACGAAGTATTGTGTGTGTACGCTTTATTAAATTAGTATAGACATCAGTACGATAGTGTATTTTTTTTAAATCTTATTAACGAAAAATTATCGAGTTTCTAATTTTAGTTAGACATCTATAGACAAAGAACACACTCAGAATATCTTTAACGTTACAAAAGAATAGAGTATATACAAATCGTGAGTAAAAAGTAAAAAGAAATACTGTCACTAAAATCCTCCATTTGTTTCACTGAACAATTCCAACCGTTTACACAAACTACAAAGGAAAAAACGAAGCCCAACAGCGTCTGAGCCGTTGCTTACGTACCGAGGATGGGAGAAATTTAATAACAGCCGGCGCAATTCTATTTGGCTCATAGAAAATAAAATAAACAGACCCCGAATAAATCCCTTACTAAACATCTTTAACTCGTCGACCAATAACACGACAATAACAGTTTATATCTAAACTTCCCCTTTTCTTATTGGCGTCGCACACCTGCTGCCATCTTGCAATATTCCTACTTGTACTTTTTTTTTCTTTTCCGATACGCTTTTGTTGCCAGCATTGAGTTGTGCACTTTTGACAGTTCAAATTGCTTATTGTAAGATAATAAAAATTGTTATATTGAGTTATTTTATAACAAAGAGAGAAATACCATATATAAATTAAATTCATTTTTTTTACAATTGTAAGTATGTTTTAGCTGACCCAACCTGAGGCAGTTTGATCCAAGATTCTTGATAATTACCCAATATTATAGGAACATTCCTAACTTGTTCTGCTTCTCCCGAAAGATAACCATTTTAAATAGAGCATCTTTTGAGCAAAATAGTCTTTACATGAACGTCCTTCAGTAGACTTATAAAACCTATCATAGACCTTCTTTATACTTACCTAACTAAATTTAATTTTTATTAACACGGTTGAATATATAAGTATAAGAAACAAAAAAAAAATAATCTAAATCTCTAGACTAAATAAAATCTTGAAGTCCCAATAAAAAAGTAAAACTGCACTCATTAATATTTTCTTAAAATAAAATCACTCGCGTTTTTAATTATTTGTTTTAAATTCATAAAACGGCGCGAACGCGCGGATGACGTCACGCACGCGTGATGCGTCGCCCGTACTCCGTTCCCCTCGCCTCCTCCCAGACCCAGACGCGCCAGCGTTGCTTCGCGACTCTCCGGGACGCTATTATGGAGCGCAAAACTGTTACTATGCGAACATCTTCCATTGCGTTATTTTTTACCTTCTAATATAATTCGCATGGCACTGCTCATGTATGATGGTACTGTTTGATAAAATTGCTGTTTCTTAAATCCGAACCGTTTCGATTTTTGACTATAATGTAACCTAGCAATTCATAAAATTTTCTTCATTTGTTGATAAACACATACTATTTAAAATAATTGGCAAAACTGCAATGTTAAAATAAAAAAGTTACATTGCTTGATTTGATTTACATTTAGCACTAATATTCGCGCCTAAATCCTCGTTGTTTTTTTTAATTCAAATTTGTCTGCTTTCTCTGCAGCCAGTATTATTAAATATTCATCCATAATATTTTATCAACTTAAATAATTATAATTTTACAATTAACTTCCTTACAAAAACATGTTACTATTTAATATGCTTTAATTTTTAAATGAATGAAAATATATTTACAATTGTTGCCAGCGCCATCTATTATCAATTATTGCTTAACGGTCTAGTTTATGTTAGTGATAATATTTCTTCATAATATTGAGAAAATGTTTTAAATCGGTACCATAGTTTTTAAGTTTATTAATTACATGTAAATATACCCTTTCAAATTTATATCACGTAGATAGATAAATTAACTACAAATCTATGAAAGAAATTCAAATAGTTTGCTAAAGAAAAACACTATAAATTAAAAAAAAATTCCCTAAACACACACGATAAAAACAAAACATGTCGGTTATATTAATAAATAACGTTTTTAACCTAGCTTGCGTATAATAGGTTATAAATTAGCGTAGTTATAGTTATTTATAGCGATAAAATGTCTACATATAAAAGGATATCTTATTTGTCCGTCTATCTCATAATTTTATTTTCATCAGTCCCGATGTGGAAAACGTGTTCCCATTTGTAGCGTTTAAATTATGTGAAGACGTAACATTAACAAACGGAATTAATGTCACTGGAATGTCAAACATTGCGATTGTCTAATATTAAAACTAAAATAAACAGTTATTAAAATAAATAACATTTGACTTCTGTAATATAATAAAATATGTTGTGATTTATGTAAATTCATTCACACATTAAGTTTTATATAGTTTAAACAACATTGAAAAATCGTTAAAAAATGTTCCGTCCTTTTTGCTATGGTTCAGTAAATCTTATTATATCGGACGGAATCGGGCGAAAGCTAGTATGTAATAATCATACTAATATTATAAATACGAAAGTTTACATGAATGGATGTTTGTTAGAGTTTATAGCCTAAACTGTTAAACGGATCTCGTTAATTGTCATAGATGTAGAGGATAGTCTGGAACATACATACTCACTTAAAAATAAACGATTTTAATACCACGCGGACGTAGTCGCGGGCGGAAGCTAGCTGTTATAAAACATATAATAATGACGTCATAAAACCTAACTCCAGTCAGAGTTAACAGTGTCTAACAATATTTTTGTGGTATATTTATTAATAAAATATTTTAAAATAAAATTTATAATATCAGGTAACTAGTCTTCTTTAGATAATATCGACCTCCCACGCTCTAATAACGTGTATGCAACGATATTGTTTGATCACACACGAAGCGCACTGTTAACCAACATTTGTCTGGATTCTCGATTGATTACACACAATCTCGGAATACAACTTTATTCAAACGTATTGTTATTATTATGCACATATAATATATACATACATAATATTATAAAGAAGGAAGATTTGTTTTAATTATTGTATGTTAAAAATAACCTCAAAAACCAATTTAATATTTTTTATCCCAATAGAAAATAACATTATAACTGATTGAAATCTTACTAATAAATGTTAAATGCTAAAATGAATGGATTGATGGATGTTTTTTAAAGTTTGCCTAAACGATTGAACTGATCTCTGATAAATATAGATGACAGTCTAGAACACAGACTACACCGCGTCTGAAATAAAATCAATAATGTATTCAAACACAAGGCGTTGATTGTAAAAGTCATATGTTCCCTTCACAAATGTAAGTTACGAGTGAAACCTAATTGTATTGTTTTAACACCTGCGAAAAATTAATAGCAATTCTTCTATTTTTATTATTTGAAATGAATGATAATTCAATTTTTAAAATGAATTATCTTTATTTGAGGCAATAATTTAAAATGAAAAAATGATTTTTGTTTTTTAAAATGAATAATTATTTTAAAAATTAGGGGTTTATTTTAA